GCTGAATATTAATGATCTTAGAGGAAGAAAATGTCTGTCCTGCTCCGTATATTTTCAAGGAGCCCTTTTGATTTACTGCAGAGGATTATATATGGCAGCACTTTGCACTGTGTTTTGCATAGGACATGGACAGAACTAACTCCTGCAACTGGTATGCTTAGCAGGCAAAATAGGTCAAATTCAGTGTTCTCACCATGAAGCCAACCTTCAGCTACTACAGCTAATCATTAACACAACTTAGCACTGGACCTCAGGCTGAAGATTTATACTGACATGGGCACTGGATTATTTTTACCTCTCATGATTGGAAGTGTGGTTTCTCCCAGCACGCTTTCTTTAACACAGCAAACTCAAGGCTGTATTTTGTCGAAGACAGAGCTTTTAATGTTGCTCAAACAGAAAAGAGAAGCCAAACATTATCAACTTCTAAAAGGTCTCCATAAGCCACAGCATGGCTGGGAGTACCGGTAACACATAGTTAGATGGATGATGGACTCTGACCCAAATGTGCTGCCTGCTCCACAGCAGTCCTCCAGCAGGGCTGTTTGTTTCCAAAAGGACAGGTAGAGGTCCAGCAACTGAAAACACGTGCCCTCTTGAAGCACGAATACACTTGAGTGAGAAAGCGTTCACCCCTACACCATTTTACGCTTGTCAACTCCTGTGCTCATCCCCAAGAAATATGAGAAATAACACGACAGAGAACAGGCCAGAAAATGGAAATTATGAGACTTCCATGCCGTCTTTTCCCTAAGGACTAAACCACAGTGCCAGCATTCACGGGGTTCCAGTCTCCAAGTTAACACCCCATTCAGCAACCACAATAATGTGTACAATATTTGGTCAGCCTACAAATAGTGCTGCACTCAACATAAGAAAGCAATTAGTCATAGCTTGATAAGGAGGTAAAAGAGAAGAAAACCTTGCCAACTAGCAATCATATTTTATGCCTGTGTTTGATACGCATTTATATGCCCATATCTCTGTCCAGACACTTGCACTTTAGGTGTGCTTAAAGGAAGAATTCTAAGGAAAAGCCTTAAGTATGGTTAAAGAAAAACATTTCTTAATACAGTGATCTAAAGGAAATATATGCCTAAGGGACACATTTTCTGGGGAAAAAAAAAAAAAAGAAAAGATTTCCTGAACCATATGCTGCAAATACATAGAGAACTTCTTCGTAATGGAAAGCTTAGGCTTTGTGAAGATACTAATGCGTACCAGATGGTCGTTAGGTAGAGAAGGGTTTCACACAAACGTGAGAAATCAGTCTATTCACTCTGTTACTAATGTGTTAGCCTAGTACACACTGAGAAACAACCTTCCACACCTAATCGAGATAAACTTTCTTCCATCTGATTTTGAGGAACCAGGGCAGAAGCAGATTAGACCTTAATAGCCTGTCCCACTTGTGTTAGAGCTGTATTATACAAACACTTAGTACGGGGCAGTGGCTGCTCCCGTAAGCAGTATCACTGTGTCCTGTAGGTGCCTGAAAAGCCAGTCCCTCTGGATGAATTTCACCTCTGAGCAGAGTGGCTCCACAAATGTATGAGCTAGTTAAGTTTCTTTCATAAATGGAGAAAAGGCTGAAGTGCCAGGCAACACAGTCCTGGCCCTCTCACACACAGCCATTTTTAAAACCTTTACAATGTGTTGTATAGTTTGCAACATGTAGTGGACCTTTTTTTCCCATTACACCATTTTTAACCACTCCAACTGTACAAATACACTTTTCTGCAATTTGAGGAGGCTTTAGCTTATCTGAGATGTGGCCACTACCTCTACGTTAGTATTGATTAATACCTAAACATCTAAAAAAACAATTCTGCCTTTGTTTTAAAACAAACCACTTGAAAAACTGCAGACATAGTGATTTTCAAACTTCTTTGTTTAAAGCAAACATGTAAAACTCAAAATAGACACACTATTAAAAAAATCTGGTTTAGGTGCTTCCATTATTTGCAAAAACTTTTCATTTGGAGTGCTGTAATCAACTAACAGAAGGAGAATAAAAGCACTTAGTGTCTACAGCATGGATAATGATTCAGAAAGGCTGCACTTCTGTAACTATAGCTCATTCTGAAGTGCACTTGTAAAATATAAGGAGGGTTTTTTCAGGTTTAAAACAAAGACAGGGATTCAATACGTATTTGATAGTTGCTCTAATATGCACAAGTCATTAGGATTTCAGAGGTTAAGATGTCTGTACACTATCCTATTAACAGCTACAGCAACCTAATTAGACAATTAGAGGGTAAGGCTAAATCAATACTACAGAGGGAGAAAGGACTGTGGCTAGGGGGTAAAATAAGGGCCCAATTCACTAAGAATTGATGTTTCCTAAGGTAACTGAAGCTGCTTACAATTTTGCAGAGGAATCTAGCCTAATCTACTTGTTAAAATATGTGGCTCTTGCATCCTTTCTCTCTGACCTTCTGCAGCCAGACCTTCAGACTGCTATCTTCTCCTTGGGTGTCTAAACGCATGCACTTGAACAGCTACCTGTGTAGGCTTTGCACTTTACTTGTTTACAACCATTCACATGAGGTTACCCCAGAAAAGGGAGTCCACCTGCCAAGTTCAGGACGATGCTGATGCCAAGAATACAAAGATCAAGGGCTTGGTTCTCTTTTCATACATGCTGCTACAGATTGGCAGTAAGTCTGTTGAAGTGAGCTGATTTATAGCGGAGTAAATGAAGCAAATAAGGCCTTAAGACTTCTTCTGCAACTGGAGTTTCAGATGCCTTTGCATACATTTATCCCACTGGATCCAAAAGCACCCCAAGCTTGGTTGGTATTCTGGTATAGCCCAGCTGATATATCAGCTCAGAACGCCAGTTCCGAGGTTTAATCTATTATGAAATATCATTTACTCCTGCACTTAACTCTACTCAATAACACTAAAATGCATAATTTATAAAATCTGTTTTCTCAAAAAAATATTACTCAGAGCAGTCACTACAGTTAGCAAACACGAGCACGTTTACTGAGACTGGTTTACTACCTCATGCTGGAATTTTTTACACCTCTCATGGAAGATCAATAGAGGTGACTAGCACATTTCCTCTCATATTTTGCCATGGTAAGTGAAAAGACTGACTGCAACACTATCAGAATGGGTATTTTAACTAAATCCATAAAAGGAAGACCTGACTTGCCCAGAGACCATGTTATACAGGATATACTTGAGGAAGGTCAACAAAATCATCTGTGAAAGACAGGCCATGAATCGGAACCAACGTTAATGTTGGGTCAGCATTTCTCCATTGCAACTGGCTGTAGGGTCCTACTTTAAGAGCCGAGTTAATTCATGGAGCCTGTCTTTGGGCTTGACATGCCAGGACAGCAAAATGGACTCCCTTTTGTTACCTGTTCTCCCTGGGACTGCAACTTTTTTCACTCTGCTGCTCACTTGAATCACTGTTCTGCTTTCTCTGTCAGATTAAAATATCGGCTTTTGTTAAAGTCCCTACTAATATGGTAGCTCACTGCATGACTCCAGAACCACAGCCCCACAGCTATAACTGTGCAGTCTACAAATACACTTAGAAACAGGAATCCCAGAACATTTCTGGCACATCAGCACTATGCTCAAGGCCATTTTCTTTATCTTTACATTCAGCATATGAATTTTATTATTACTGTTCTTTAATTACTGCTCTGTGCACTGGAAATATAGCAATTTTCAAACGAAAGAAAGTACAAGTTTTGTATGCAGACAAAACCATGAGTCTTCCATACATTATGAAGTCTCAACTTATCTTTGATTTTGTACATTCCCTTCACTGGTTTTCATTATTATACTTTCAAAGAAGTTTCACCTGTACATTCTCCATTTCCTGGTAATAAGCAACATGGGGAATTTGATTTTATTTTTACAAATGTTGAATGGTATTACTGTGCCTCCAGTTATTTATATTCTGTTGTACTGAGCTGTCATTGGTTCTGTTTTGTACCTATATATTTTGCAGGCACGAGATGAAAAGATCAATTAAATGTTCATCACCACTGCACACTAACCTACCTTTTGCTACATTCAGCCAAACATATGGTAAATTTGCCCTAGCTCTGATGAATTTCTAGTCTTGTACAGCCTGAAAGCAACTCCACAAGCAAGCTCCCATCCCACATGGAAAGTTGGCATTGACTTTACTGGGAGCAATACCACACATCCGCATAGCTTGTGAGTACTTGCCTTTGTTCAGGATGTCTATGAAGAGAAACTATTACAATGTAAGTCTAGGTTTGAATTTAAAGCTATTATATATTCTGCAATAATTCTTCATGAAGGACATTTATTTTGCACTTCATGTACCAGCGTAATCCACTTCCAAATATACAGAACAAAGTGGTGGAAAGTACTGTGAGCACAGATTAACAGCTGCCTCACGGGAAACTGCTACTCTAGGCTTGCAGAAATGCTCCTCTTCATCTCAGGTCATTGAATTTGCTAATGTGCTAGGTGAATCCCTTTTTTTTTTTTTTTTTTTTTACAGACCAGGCCCCATTCAGGCATTAATATACTGCAAGCATGGACAACATAAATGACTCAGCCTAGAAGTGACAGGAACCTTCAGGAATCAAGGCATAACCCAGTCTCAACTCACATGGCTAACAGGTTGATTTTCCTTATGAGAGATCTTTCTGTAACCCAGAGATAGTTCTGCTCCTTTCCCTTTCATGATTCTGTGATTCTGACTGGCTGCTGTAGCAGTCATGACACCAGTGTGGATGACTCATGAGTGGGATGTGAGCTGCTATCTTGTTTCTCCTGGCAAACAGATAAGGTGCATCACTGTACCCAAGTGTTCCTTTGTCTCAGTGTTCAGATGAAGCATGCTCTTAATCATGTCTGCTGGCATGCCATTAAAATAGGCCACATCTGATTTCAATTCGATGGAGACAGTTTTGAGGGAGTACTAGAAAAGAAGGACTGAAAATCAAGAGGTATGACTTAATCCTAATTGTGATTAGTGAATCAGGCCCTCAAAACCAAGACAAAACAAGTAAAAAAGGGTAACGGCTAGTTTAGTACAGGAACTACTAGCTAACACAAGGATCTGGGGAGAATTTTTAAAAACACCCATAAACTGACCATACACTGTGTCGTAAGACATTTCATGATCAGGTGAAGCAGTTGAAATGTCTATGAACAAAATAAATTGGGAAGAAACATTAAATAAAACAAAAGTATGAAAAGACTTAAAAGTTTAGTAAAAGTGATTCCTCCAAAATGGATTTGCTGTCAGTAAATAATGAAACTAAGAACTTCCTTACCATTCAGGGCTACGAAGGAATCTGAAAGACAAATAACAGGGGAAAAATCATTATTTATCTCTCGTTTTTTCTTTTTAATAGTTTGCTGCTAGCAACCTTTTATGCTTCAGCTGATATTTATATGTATGTGATTAGTACCCTAAGGATTCAAGCAGAACTAATATTCAGACATACCTGAAAACAATGTCTGTCTCTGAAAGAGTTCACGATCACCCCTGTGGAAGGGATACCAAGTGGAAAGGCCAGTGTCCTCCCTGCCATGACTTTCTTATTTAACACAAGGCTCTGCAAGTGATGCAGCCAGCAACACGAGTCCATGAGGTCAGAACTCACATGACCCAAGACCACACGAAGTAATAAGATCAGCTGGGTTAGCAGGGAGTGAAATCCACCCCTGTGCAGTGTTCAAGGTTCAATGCGTCATTCAAGGCTAAAGAGAGATTTAAGCAGGGTAAGGGCTTTGTTGCTCTCTGCACAGGAGCAGATCTCTCTCCATGAGTACAATGTGCTGTTTCTGAATAATTTCGTACCCTTCCTTTATATTTAACTGGTACCAGGAACACTCCACTCCTGTCTAACCCATTTGCCCAAGGAAAGCAGAACTGGCTGAAAAGGGCAAAGTTGCACCAGCTGGGAATTGACCTGATTTTGGTGCTAACCCCTTTTACAGGGAGCACAGGAGGGACTACGTGTGCACCTCCTTCAAAAAACTTAGAGATAGCCTATGCAACCCTATCTTAGGGCAGAGACAGAGGGAGGTATAGCTGAGATGGGTGGCATGCTGAGACTGAAATCCTTGTAGTCCCTCAAGCACAGTGATCACAGCAATAAATGACAATTAAACAAGGTTGCACAAGGCAGGAGAATGTTCCGGCTCTCCCCAGAGCAGCTGGCCTGCACTGTATCCCACAGCATACTCTAGCCCTCCATTATTTTCTCTGTATTCCAAACGTAATGACTCTCTCACTGTACATTACTTCCTCAGCTTCAGCAGTTTTATTGCATCTACAGGCATCAGTGCAAATTGCACGGAAAAGAATGCGATTCTTGATGTCATAAGGTTTATAAATAATATTTGGAGCTCAGAATTAAACCAACCTTGGCAAGAACATTTGGAACGAGAGCTGTCCTGAACACAGATGCTGGAATTCCTGAAGGCTCAGAAATCAGCCTGCAAGGTTTCTTTGGATGCAGTGCAAGCTGTGCACTTTTAAGCACCTCAGTGCAAAACGTAAATGTTTATAAAGACTGCGTTCAAGCTTCTAACTCATGCTGTCAGTACCTAAGATTTACCATTAAAATTTCTTAGGCAGGGTCAGTAGTGCCTGACCCTTAATACCACTAAGTTGTCCAGCCTGTGTGTAAAATCCAGTAAGATTCACAAACTAAGTAGCTCCCACTTCTTGACCCAGATCCAAAGCTGAAAATACATTTCACTGTCTCCCTGTCCTGCATGAGAATGGAGTCCAAGTTACAGTCTACGCCAAGAAACCAAGCCACTTCTGTACATCTACAAAACAACTCAGCCACCATGGCTAATAAAGACAATGAATACGCAAATCATTATGTCATTGCTGTAATCAATATCCTCTAGAACTGAGGTTTTCTCACTATGTAACTGCTTTGAAGTCTGGTGTTTGAATATATCACACCAACTGGGTTATTCTCTTTAAATACTTTTAAACAACTGGTCCTCTTCCGAACCTGCATTGTTAGCTGCTCTTGCTGTCCCTGTTGTGGCTTACATTGCTACAAAAGAACACCTGACAGGTAATTTGAAGCATTCAGAAGGATGCTGTGACACATGGTAAATAAACGGCAAAAGCTTTGCTTACTTTGGCAGTCACCCAGGCCATCTGTATTGCCATGTTCTATGTCCTGTTCACATGCCAGTCTAAATAATAGAAAGAAACAAAACAATATGAATAACAACAGTGAGCACCAGAAAGAAATTATCACATGTGTAACTGAAATAAAGCCCCACCGTGAAACTGGCCATTTCTTTGGAACTTCCACACAAAGGCTGAAAAATTGCAACATAGACATTTGAGTTATTCGTCATTGCTTAATGATTTCTTGGCTTCTGATGATGCTTTGTCTTTTTATTATTACTTTTTTTTTTTAAATCCACTGCATGCCTCGTCAAGGGAAGCAAACAGATTAGCATTTTTTAAACTGTTAACTCTATAATATATGATATTATCACAAGCAATTATGATCCCACCTTAACTCGTCCATACAGCAGACAGTGTGCACTGATACTTTGACGTGAGAAGGAAGCTAGTCCATTGGGTTGGTACTGTGCTGGGGGGAGACAACCTGCATTTCAGCAATCATTTAGGTACTATGCTGGACAAGGCTGCAAGGTGTAAGGTCCAGTCCACAAAAGGCATTCCACTGAACTCAAGGAGCTCTACTGAAAAACACTCACAGGCTTTTCTAGCTGACATGTCCAGTTTACGCCCCTAACCTCTGCCTCTGATTTTGGATAACTAGTGAACCTGCTCTTCCAACTTTGTGTACGGTCAAAGGTGAATGAGAAGAGCCCTGGAAAACCTCCAACACAAGCCCTTGTCTACATTACCTAGGATCCTGCCCTTGAGGCATAATTACCCTTGCAGGCCTCTCATTCCCAACTCCCTTAAAATTCCTGCTTAACCTTCACTGACCCCAGGAGGGCACCTAACATCTTGGCCTCCTGTTGGCTAGTTTAGAAGTTCACCAGACATCCTCACAGCTCATCTGGATCCCTCTCCCAGTTGCTATGCAAGAGACAGAGAGCAATCTGCCTCGCTCACCTCTGGACTGCACCACTGCAAGCTGCGCTGCCTCTTGATATATCTATTGATAAACACAGGATTTGCTTTTAAGAGTAAGGTACAGAAGCCCCCTACAAAGTGCAAAAAGACTCAAGCACTTTGGGGATGCTGAGAAGACCTGATACGGACACAGGTATGTTTTAACATTAGTCTACCAAATGCCCAGTCAGGAACATTCTACACTCTCATAGTAAAGCATATACAGACAGATATAGCTATAGCATCCCCAGTGGACAAAGCAATTCGAATTGAAACAGCAAATGAAGAACAAGACACAAGCACGGGGATAGTAACTCAACCACTATACACTGAAGACCTGTAGAAGCAGGGTTAAGTGGGGCCAGCTGTGGAGCTGCTGAGGTTGTGTGATGCTCGCACTACAGTTCCACCACCACCTTGAGGAGGTATAGCTGTGCCTCAGAGTGAGCAAGCATGAGCTGTCTCAGATATGGCCAAGAAATGAGAGCTCTGAGGTGGGTCTGCTCCCTGCAAGTAGGCTTTAGCAACCACATTTAAACAAACATTCACAGACTTTCATTATTATAAAATAATTAAATTATACTGTTAAGGAAGGGGAGATCCAGCACTTCTCTGAATCTGCTTTAAGCTCTAAGCTCTTACTGTGCTCTGTGATTCCTCTTAGTAATGCACAGTAAATTAGAAGGACTGGTTTTGTTTTCAGTGGACAAATTGCTGCAGTAATTTAATTTGGATTCTATTGCCTCTTTAATCAGCTGTGATGGCTCCAGTGTGGGCTGGTCCAGACATACCAATCCAGTTCCCTCCTTTCAGTAACGTGCAGACCTTAGTACAGCTCTTTCATTTTCTTCTTCCTCCAATCAGCTGAGAGTTCACATCAAAAAAATTTGTGAGACATTTCAGAAGTGAATGCAAATAAGGTAGGAACAAACACTTCCCACACTTTTCCTTCCCTAAGAGCCCCATGTTTCAAGTAGCTCTGCCCAAGACTGCCCGGCGCCACTGCCAGAGCTTCAGGGCCTGTCCCAGCCAGAGCCCTTACTCACTTGGAGCCAAGGACCAGCTGTGTGCACACCCCGCTCTCCTTCACCCATCCGCAGTAAGGGTCTCTGGACGCTATGCAGGCCCTTGAGAAAGAAAAGCACAAGGCAGCATTCATGAGTGCTCCTGCTTTCCCCATGCCTGGTGCGCAGGCTTCTGACAGCCACCAGAAAACACATACTTTTTGCATTTGCCGTGACGCTCGCAACGTCCCAGGGGAACCTTGATGACACAGGTGGAGAAGGCGACATACAGGGTACTGCTGGGCTTGTCAAGCTGCATGCCCACAATTCGCTTGTCCTCCACGCCATCGTAGCTACACCTGATTTTGAAAAAAGGTGAGATAAGGTTATAAATGAGTTCTGCAGGGAAATCAGATGAAAACTCGAATGATTCCTCAACCTGAAAGAAAAAACCAAAACTCCCACAAAGTTTTGGGAACAAAAAAACCCTGAGAAAGGCAGAATTGAACAAGACAAGGAAAAAGAGCACACAACAGCCACTAAAAGCACTGACAGACATGTGAGTATTAAAAACGCATGGGACAGGGAAATAAGAAGTGGCAGCACACCAGACAAGCTTTCCGAGGGCCCTTCATTTTTTGTGTTTATTCTTCTCCAGCACTCAAAGTAGCTGAAATTTCTGCATGATTACGGCCCACTTCAAAACCCTCTTACGCATATTTGAGGAAGGCTGAAATGTGGGAAATTTCCCTTGGAGAGCAGCTTGCTGTTGGAGAGGAATCAGGGGTTTTTTATAGGATTAGAAAATTAATCTTCCTTTGCAGAATTTCACTTTTAATTATCCATCAACAGCTGCATAGGACAGTCTATTTTCTTCACACACTGAATAAAAAATACCTTACTGCAATGTAGAGACTGATAAGCAGACATCCCCTCCGCAAACAATTTAAAAAACCCCTGGCTTCTCTAACCACTTCCCTTTTCGTGGGACAACCTACTCTCTGGCAAAGTGGAAGTTCAAAGTCACCCATACATGAGCACATGAGAATCAGATACACACTTTTCAGGATTGTAAATGTTCATCTCCTCCAGGAAAAGGCTGTCATTTAGGAAACCACTGTTTCCTGTCCGTGCCAAGAACTTCAGGATGATTCCCTTCTCTGATCCCAAGAAAACCACGGTGTAGTTCTGATATGGCCCAGCAGCAGAGTCCACGGCAATTTTGGTCAGGCGGTATCTAAAATAACAACACAGCATTCTGCATCAATTTGGATTAGATTGCCATTTATTTTATCATTTTTTCCACCTCAGATAACTGTGTGGTAGTCTTCTAGCAACCATATAACATATTTAAGCACTTTTCTTAGCTGAATAACCCTGTAAGTCAACACAGACTACACCAGTTTGGCTCCCCAAATGGCGGGGAATTTTCGTATGTTTGTCTTCACGTCCATAACTCCAATAGCTAGCAGGACTGTTTGCAGAAAGCTGAAGGGGTGCTAAGAGTCTGAGGCCATTTAGGAATTACCCTTCCAACCAAAAACAAGTACTAGCCTGGTGACTTCTTCAGCCAGGGAAAGAAAATCAGGACAGTCAATTGTTGGGTTTTTTTTTTTAATTTCAAGCTATGTCACATTAAAAGCAGCAATAATGGTAAGAGATCTACATTCAATTTTTTAGCAAGCAGGAAAAGCTGTGCCAGTGCAACAGTGGGACACTACTCACTAGAAATAATCACACAACCACCACTAAGTGAGTTCAGTGCTGAGATCACATTGAATTTTGGGATGACAAAATTTACTGAAAATGAGTACTGGTTATTTGGTACCAGCTACCTGATACTGGCGATCAAAGGAAAGTGCTCTGCATAGCTTGCTGCTCTTGTCTTTGGTTTGGGGTACAGAACCTGACATAAAAACCTGACAGAAGATACATTACTAAAACTAAGTCAGACCCTTCCAGAGTTTAACACTGCCCAGCACAAAACTCTACCCTTGTACAGAGGAAGAGAGGAAAACATGGCAAGTTAGTCATGTTATTCTGTTCACAGCTGGAGAGTAGATAAGTAGTATAGTGACCACAGCAGAGAGTGGGAATGTATTTTGATAGGAAGGGGATGGTGTATTTTGAGGCTTGTTCATTTAGGAGTCTTTGTTCAAATTTCTTCATTATTATTTTTCTCTTGTTGCCATAGAAAGGATACAGATTACGTGATTATTTCTGCCTGTACACTTCTGTAAACATTAAAACACACCAGTACATATCCCGACAGACATCTTCATATCCTGTGAACATATCCTGGCGGACATGTTTGTATCCTGTGTACATATCCCTGGGCTGTCTGCTGATCCTTGCCCAAAGTTTTCTACAAAGCTGTCTCAAACATTGACCTATAAGCCAACAGGCGGGTCAACCTTCCCCGCACAGCATTTCCTCCAAGCTCCGGTTTCAGCACAGCGTGATTGGAAAGAATTGAGGTTTCTTCCTATCTTGAAAGCTGCTCAGGGAGTTCTGCAGCATCTGCTCAGTGCTGCCATCATTCCTAGCTGGATTCATGCCCAGCCCACTAAGGACATTTACAGAGTTTGAGAGTATTCTGAGCAAGACTACCAGCACAACTTGACAGCTATGATGAGGACAGGAGTCCACTTGGAGGTACATACCTGACCATTGTTCTCAGGAACCAGGGTCGATTGACAATGGAAGGTACAGCCTCATCCATCAATGGATGTGTTTTGATAAAGTTCAGAGTATCATCTGGGAACTCGTTAGAGGTTACATATTTTTCTAATGATGTAGAGCCAGCACAGCAACCAGGCCTAAATAAAACAAGAGAGTAAAGCCAGAACACTTATTTGATGCCTAGTGCAAATCTCCTTTTCTAATGAGGCCCTCAGTGAAAGCATTACAAGGATTGTAAATGGAGGATTGAGAAGTCTGGTGGACTTGTTCCACCCCTCAGGGGAAGCCTAAAATCCTGCTCTATCCTCCACTTAGAAGTACTTAACATGTCACCTAAAAGCACAAAGACATTTCTTCAGCAGGAGTGTGACACACACAGTTTGTAGTTCATCCACTCACATGGAATCTAATCACTGCATGTGTTCACTTGGTTTGATGCTGCCCACTGGCATAGGTGCTTTCTCCTGGACTAAAAGCAGTCCCTAACACACAGAAGAAAGTTGATTTTTTCAGCATGTGTGAAAGAATGCTGCTTTCCATCCTGTCTGGTAGAAAGTAGGCTATTGGAGAAGACGACCCAGCAAGCATCCATATAAACATTGGTTTTACCCTTCTTTCAATTTGTATGAGACGATTTAAGTATAGCAGCATGCTGAGGACTTCCCCTGAAATGGTATCTAAGCATTCTTCGACAACTTAAATACAAATTTCCTCACCCTACTCCTAAAATCTACCCTGCTCCTCAGAGGTAACTTAACCTTCTTGCCTGGAGAGGTCATCTCTACACAGGAAGCAGCAAAATACTTCGTCTGTTATTAATATTTTGTGGGTTATTTTCTCCAACAAAAGATCCATTTGATCCCATTTCCTAGAGCATTATGATTCTTCAAGCCTTTGAGGCATTGTGAGATGGGAAGATGAACAATGGACAACCCACTCATAAACATGCTGCAATGTCCAGTTTTCATCTGCTCTGATGTGGGTAGAGCTACTGACATCAATGGAGTAATGCCAACTTGAACAAAATAAAGCACTGCTCCTATCATATCTGTCACACACACACACAGAGATAAGGTTTAGATATCTGTCACACACACACAGAGATTTAGATAAATATTAAGACCTTAGGCAACTAAATGTTATGTAGGAAGGCAGCAAAGGGCTGGAGGGGACTAGCTGGGTCAGTAGGTCTGGTTCCACACAGCTGCACAAAGAACACCACACGCAGAGACTGTGTGTTCTGCCTCTTCATATCCAAAATATTTTCGTTGTCTTGTAATTGCATATAGAATTAACAATACAGGGAGAGGAAAGCCAAGGGCATCACTGGTCTCCTAGGTCCTTGCAAGGGCACCAAATCATGAAGTGACCTTCCCAGAGAGCTCTAGGGAGCAGCCTAGGCCTTCTGGCACTGTGGTGCCTAGGGTTTCTGTATATCTAATCTGGAGGCCTATTTCCTCCTTAATCCTAATCACATGATTGGATTAATCCTGTTTTAATCTCAAAACCGGTTTAAACGAGTGAACATAAAACCAACCAAACCCTGCTGTGCACCTTGGCCAAAAACCAAAGCAAGGCCCCTGAAAGGCTCTGGTATGTTTTTGAAAATGTTATGATCAATAGGAGCACTAGTGTTCCTGCACCATACCAAGATATCCAAATAAAAATTACCTTATTCCAAAGGTGTCTTGTGCCTTTCACGCATTTCAATGTGAGTTAGAACTAATGATTATTTCTATTAAGCAGATTGATGGCCAAATGTTACATGAAACAGTGTTCACCAATTCAGTTCATGTCATCTCCTGCTGGCTTAGAAGGAGCAGTATTATCCTGTTTTCATCATAACTGTGAGCCTGCAATTGGCTCATCACACAAATTCATAATGCAACTTTCTCTTCTTCCTTCCCACTGAAAGAGAAGCTTTCTCTTTCTCCTTTCTCCCTTCCCTGCTAATACTCTCTGGGTAAGTTCCAGACAAATGACCTTGGAGCCTGTGTGCAGCCTTGTACTACCAAGGCAGCCCATCATGTCAACGAGCTGTTGAAACACTGCAAAGAGAAGAAAATCCAGCAACAGTGCTAGCAGGTGCCTTACTAATTTTCAGACCAAAAACAGACACAGAATTTACCAGATTTTCCAGTCACCTCCAGGCTCTTCTTTTGAGTGACAACTTCAGAATAAAGACAGCACAGGAACACTATACTCGGCAACTCTAAAACACGATGGGCCAAATTTGGATCTAGGCAGAAGCTCAGTTGCCACCACAGCACTTCCGATGTCTTTTTCTTTTTAAGTTATATAAGATATCACAAGCAATGTAAAACATACATTGAAGTGGTAAAGCTTGACTGAGACAAATGATTTTGCTTAATCTACATTCATATCATATCCTCAGAGCAAAATGCCACTGGTGTAAAGGAGGTAAGAAGTGGCTGTCAACAGCAACAGGAAATAAAAAGAAATTGTAATAGAGAAGGCCAGATGCAAACAGGAGGGAAGTAGAAGTGGGGGAAACAACTCATAGGAAGAATGAGGTAAACTAAACCTCCATTTTGATGGAATACTGTTTTTTTCTTTCCATGATGTTTCCCTTGTGGCACATAAATTGCGTGTGAACCATGGAACAGCAAACTGCAGAACTGGTGCAGGCTTTGTAATAAGATATATCCATTACTGAACCAATCTGCAACAGGTGTGTAACTCACATCACCCTTAAGTGATAGATTATTCTGACCAAGTGGATCTGATGCTGGCCTGAATTATGTTACAGAAATCTTGTTTAAGAGGAAAAATTCTCACTTGCATACCTTAGATCCAAATGCAACTCAACTTCTGTTACTGTTACAAAATGTATCTTCAGTTGTGTCTGCACCTTACATGGCTGTTCAAATTATCAAAAACCTCTGTTATGCATGCAGGAACGATATCACTACACATGAAACATACCTGGGCTTGGGCACTCGTTCATCAGGAACTGGTGTCCATGTGGAGTCTGGAGACTTCTGTTCTTTGAATCTCCCAGTAAATACATTGGCGATGTCAAGCATGTCATAGGCACAGACCGCAGAGCCAGGGATGCTGCAAAGTGACATTTCCCAGAAATTGTTACTCATTCTGCAGTTATGCATAAAATCTTGAGTGAAAAACATGCTGTATAGAAGTCTTCCTGTCACAGGCTACTCAATCCTGAACTCTGTAACCTCTGAGTATTGACAAGAAAAGCCAGCCCCACGGAAAAGCCTGAAATATACCAATCAACAGACAGCTCCTGCCAGCACAACTTGTTTCAAAGCCTCTATAGAAAGAAATAATTGCAATAATCTTGCAGAAGGGGAAGAATCTGGGAAAGTCTGGGTACCACTGGCAATGAGGAGTAATAGCCAGTCTCATTCAGAGCTCATTATTTGGAAATTTAAGTTCTTGTAAGTCACAACATCTCTCGGTAGTAATTCTCACAGTCCCTGTCATGCCTCAAAAATACACTGCAGACAGTTCAGAAGTTGGTGCTGATCAAACTGGGAGCATGCTGTAATGTGCCACTGACCTGGCATTTACATGTTATTACTCCATCCTCCCACAGCCTGATCTCCACCAAGTTTTCCCAATGGAAAAGAGTTAACTATACTCAGGAATTTGCTTAACTCAATGAGGTGTAACGAGCTTATAGAAGCAAATTCAATTTTAGTTTTAGATCATAAAGTTGTAAATTTCAGCTTTTTGATTATTTGCATGCAACTGCACGATAGCATTGTCTAAATGTAATTATGTCCTTGCCTACATACTTTCTGAAAGGCTTAGGGGCTTCCCATGGTCAGTCACTTGGAAGCATGAATTATTCATTTATCCACCTTTCATTTTTTTCACAGATGAACTACTGTATTTGTGTCTGACTTTCATTGCTTGATTTTATCAGGTAAATAGCATGAACTCAGCTAAGGCTTTCAATTCTGCTTTTAGCTAGTAGGTTATTATAAACTAAAAAAAAAAAAAGTAGGAATTATAATACTGTTACAAAAAATAAAACTAAACTCATAAAGCTACACAAACGGATAGAAAAATAACTGACTATTAAGAGGTTTCAAAATGCTTATTACTGAAGTAAACAACTAGCAGGGAGACAGTCTTACTTTGATCTCCAGAGACTATGTTTTTATATGGAAGGGAAACTTCAAAGCTCTATGTTAACGTGATACTACACAGCAAGCATTTTAAATGGAAGCAGCTACATGTATGTCAATGTAAGAGTTGGTCAAGGGTATATTTGGCCACACACAGGACCTCACCCTAAAAGACACCTCAAGACCCACTCCAGATAGAAGATTTTGCACTTTGCTGAATTAAGCCCTAAAGAAAAAACAACCTTGAGGCATGTTATACCAAACTAAAAGCACTGAGAACTGTGCTCAACACATAACTACACAGTGATGGAGGACCGCTGCAGTGAGAAAACTGCAACAGCTTTTACTCTTGAGGATGGCAATTTGCAGGTCCACAGTGTGATAAACCCATAAAGACAGAGTACTGTGGGTCATAGCTGAGCCACCTCCTAACCATTGGACTACGACTCATCACCAGCTCCTACCCTGGGTGACCGCAGGTTAGACTGGTGAATCTTTTCCAGCTCACTCCAGGGGGAAGCTTTGATCCAGAGATCAAAGATACTTGTTGAAGCTTTTCCTCAGTGGAGGAGGAATGAGAAAGATACATCCATGTCAGAGCTAGGTCTGTTAATAAGGTGTCTCCAAGCCTACAAGCCTTCCTGTCAGCTTTAACGTCTGGCAAATACTGGGGTCTATAAAATAGTACCTTAATTTCAACACCAAGTACATAGATCTTAAAATGCAGGGTTTAAGGACAAGTATTATTCATGACACATCACATGAAATACTTGCAGAGCAGGAGAACTATGTCAATTTTGAGATAATGTCAAGATACAACCTATTTTCTGATGCCGAATCTCTGTTTGTTCACTTGTTTTTATTAAGCTGCTTTGCATAAAAAAAGATCATCTTAATTTAAGCCTATATTCCCTATTGGTGATATAAGTATTTCATTGCAGTTCCTATCATTTTGATGTAAAAAAGCAGTGATCATAGATTACAGGCTTGGGCTTACTCTCATTTGAAGTCAGTTCTATGCATGACCTCACTGAGGTCAGGCTTTGACAAGAGGTGGCGAGTGTACAGCAAAACCAGATGAATTTCAGCAATACAGTTCCCCTTTCAGCTCAAACATTACTCTGAAACATCAATATACTTTTTAATCAGAATGATACTATTTTTTTAGCTTCTATGGGAGACCTCAATAAGTAGATACAGTTACTCTTCTAATAACTTCTGGAGAAACTGTTATAACATATGATGGTAACAAATTCTTTGCAGATAAACCAATGCTTTTGGAAAACCACGTGAACAATGAAATACAGGTGTTCTAGGGACCCTCCTCCCCAGCCAGCAGGACAATTTAGGGGCTTGGCTCTCCCCGTTGAAAATGCAAAAGTCAGCAGGGATGCATGAAATAAGGGAAGGAGTACTAATGTGGTTCTTGGGAGTTTAAATGTAAACAGGAAAGACCTAGTCCTTTCCCTGTGAGAAAAAAAAATAAATCATATTTTCTTTTTGGAATAACACTTTGCAAGTTACACACTGCAAAACTTCTTGGTGGCTGGTCTCAATTATTCCCATGGAAAGAAAAAGTATGTTCAAGGAACATGTCCAGATAGTAAATAGCTGAACGCTACTCTAAGTTGTCAGATATAAAATGCAGTAAGCAGTAGCAGCATATCTTAAAATGAAACACAAACTATTGGTAAGCACACAGTACATAATAATTACATTGTATGAGCAATCACTTCTTGTACCTTCATAAAGTAGAAAGAAACTGCAGTGAAAAGCAAAACATAAAGGAAACAGAAGCTAAAAGGTTATTGCGCCTATTACCTATTATATGGAGTGGAGAAGGTTGCTAAAACAACATCCCGGCCATTGAAATGGATAACATCTGTAACTGCCTGCAGTATGTTAAAGTAGAAGTGTGAATCGCCAGGAACTGAGCAGTTCAAACGAGCCTTGAGAAAGGAAGTCCACTGTTTTTCCAGTACTCTCTGAGATCCTCCCATGTCATTTTTGCAAACCTGAGCCACCCTTGGGAAAACTACCTGGAAGGAGTAGAGCAAAAATAATGAAGAAAATGAAATATTTGTTTGAACTAAAAGACTTTGTTGGAATTCTGCTTTTAAAACACTTGGAATAGCATAGCAAGGTGCTTAATTTAATCCCATGTTTCCATAATCTGTGACAAATAAGAAACAGAGAAAAATTCAGTGTGCCGCAAAAGATAAGGCTGGGGCATTTACTATACAGACATAAATCCTTCAGGAGAGCTGTTCTCAACCCATATAAAACTCATTTCCATACAGACTGCTTAGCTTTCTGTTTCCCCAAACAAAAGCACATTTTATATTCACAATCCCTGCAACCCACGCTGCCTGCTCCAACTCTTGTGTTTTCAGCACTTAAAAACTATGCAAATCTTGCTGGACTTTTAATCCTGCCCTCCACCTTTGTGACCTTGGTCAGCTTTTCTGACTGCTTAGTCAGAAAGCTACTGTGAAATTAGCAAAAATGCAGAAAGTGTTTAATTATTCTTCGGAGAATGGCAGAGCACAAAATTCCTGCCGCTGTTTACTCAGCACTCCAATTCAGATTTCTTAAAGAAAAATATCTCCCTGCTTTGGAATACATTTTTAACAATTGCCTATTATGCTGAAATAACTGCATTTGCCTTGTGCTTTTTATGATTTGAGAAAAAGAGTTTCCAGCATACACTGTCACTGTAAGAAACCACCCTGTTTCCATTCAAGACAGTGCAATGTTTTACTCCATCCAACCTTTTGGCTCGAGCGATAGGAATCTTCTCAAAATGCTGACCTTGTCATCATGATTTATGATTCTCATTTCAAGGTCACTCCTAACAGCATTGGTCCAAGAATAGCATATGTTTTCCTCCTCCTAACAAAGTCATTCAAGGCAATGTTTTTGCCCTTACCTTTCCCATGCTGTTGTATTCTACTGCTATTTCCCGGAAGAAGAAGTAAATGTAATTGCCATAGTCCACTGCCTGGACAAAGTAGGGTTCTAGAAAAAAAGCCAAGACATCCTATTTAGACACCACGTACAGCCAAATACATTCACACTAAACATTCAAAGGTGAAACGCCTGCATTAGCCAAAGCTGCTCAGTTTTCAGAAGTAGCAACACCACCGCAGAACAATCACTATCTGGGGACAGGACAGTTGGGGACAAGTCTGTGTAACATCACTGCAAGGTGGTTAAGCATTTGCCACTAACAGGTCTGCCTTGTGTGGAGTAGGAGGAAAGGTAAAGATGCAATATATAATGGTATGGCAATATATAATGGTATGCCTGAGAGGTCCAACCAGTGCTCTTTATGGCATGCAAGCTGTGTATGGAGGGAATAAAAACATGTAACTGTTTCTGCCCACATGTGTTTGTAGCAGCAAGCAAAGTGGGACAGCTAAAGTCGACACCTGGCAAAACATTTCTGCATGCAGAAAAAGACTTCAAACTATGGCTTTGCTCACTGTTAAAATCTCTCCAAACACTAACTATTCATAACGCCTACATGAAACTAAACAGCACCGTTCTTAACAATGAGGGCATTTAGAGCACAGAAATTGCCTAATTCAATGGCAGCAGTAGTCCCTAAGAACCATAAAAGAAAGGCTTTGTGCAATATTCCCATAATTTTATTTTCACTGATGAATCTTAATGTTACAGGACAAACTCTCTATACTTCATGAAGCCTTGACTGTCACCGAACACAGTCCTGGGACATGAATATTTTCAAACACAGTCCAAGCCCACTGAGCCTGCAAGTTCCAACCTTTACTCTGATTTCAGCTTGGAAAGCTTGCTGGAATATATATTCTGATCTACCACACTCACTGTTTCTGTCAGGTCCAGTAACTTGGAGTCAGGAAAACAGGGGAAGAGATAAATGGATCAGAGTACATAAGAGATGTAATTTAGTTCCTTCTTTCTGCCAGAAAGCATTGGTGAAATGAAATGACAGAGAGGTCTGTCAGGAATCCAAGACTCTCATCAGAGATGCTGCTTTTTTCACTTTGTTTGTTTATCTACCTTTCAACCACTTTGAGTCATGTTTAACTGTCCGCAGAGTTGGGCTGTCTCCAAGGCTCCGGTATATGACTGCATCTATTGCAAGGAAGTCGGTCACTGTGGCAGAATAAAGCTTTCCCTCTAGGGAGGAAGGAAAGAAGAAACAAGAGGGGAGGAGCATTAGAAATAATATAATTGCTTTCTCTCATTAGTCAAGTGAGATGGGGCAAATAAAATCATCACAATCACTTTAGGAACACCAAAGGGAAAAAATCCGACTAGGTAAATGGGACTGAGCACTGAACAAGTCAACAGTTTTCAAAACAGTAATTTGAGAGGGATGCTGTGGGAGAGGAAATCTTATGGAGTAATTCTTCTCTAGTTTAGGTAAGTCATACTGAACTACCCTATCCAGCTTCCCTGCACATGCTTCTGGTTCAACGCTTATAAATTCTGCCTACATATGTGAGCAAAATAAATATGGGGAAGCTGCAAAGAACAGCTAGTTTTAACTGGGAAGGCAAACCAGATAGGTTTTAGGGACTGTCAGCTAATTGACACTTATGCAAATTTCTCCCTTTGAGAGCACTTCTCCTCTGCCAAAGATCACTAGCAAAAAATTAAATGGCAGGCAGGGAGCCCAGGCGAAACAGGGATGCAAAGAGATGGAGGAGGATTGACTATCTATGTTTCTTTTCTACCATGTGTTTTAGGCATTTCCCACGTGAATTATGCATTCTTCTCTCTTAAAGAACCAGAGGACAAGCAATAAGAAAGGGTCTACAAATAGCACCTCAAGGACAACCAGAAGATGCAAAACTATCAAGAGGTAAAAGCACGAGCTCCAACAACATTTTAAAATTATATTTGTTGTCTAATCTGTTTGTGGGTCATGGTAACTGTACAGGGCTGTTTTCACATGTAAGACAGATCTTGGAATATGATGTCTGGTAGGAGCACACACATCATGGCAGGAGGACAGCAACTTGTGCCTCTGTTGTGTCTACCTAAAAATCAGAATGGCCTACATCTTCTTTGACAGATGTTACATTGTGTGCTGGGCCTTGAAGGCACCAGAACTGAGGACATATCCAGGACAAAGCAGAGAGGCTTTTACTGGTCAAGCTCTCCACATTGCATTTTCAGATAATGTTTAATTTCAGCTCAAGGTCTAAAAATCAGACTGTTTTTTATTAGCAGGACTGTAGTCTTTGTTCTGAGCCCCACAATTCCCATCATTATTTGGCTGTTTAAAAATGGGCTTTTTTTCTTTGCAAAACCAGAAATAAATAATTACACAAAAAGCAGATACTAAAACCAACTTTAAAATAGAATAAAAATCCAAACCATTTTGATATGTATGTCTGAACTCATGTTAATACAATCACATGCTTATTTTCTTTCCTGCCAAGTTCCTGAAGACCATTGACTAACTACAGTTCGCACATATCAGCTGTAATAGCTACAGGCTGCAAAAGCCATATTCATGTAAGTGCACCCAACAGACTCAGATGAGCTGGATTAGTGCCCTAAACTGCTCTGAAACTACTTTTCACTGCACTCTGAAAAGTTATCATGGGTATCAATATGCATGGCATATTCAAACAGTGATTTTCTGAAGCTAGCAGATTTACAAGGTATATTCTACAAGAATGTATTTGAACAGTATCAAATTTATTCTGAATTATCATGAAAGAGTATGATCATTTCTATAAACATTCTTTTTATTTTTAAATGATGCGAGGACTTCTTCAGTGACAAAGTGGGCGTCATCTTACCAAACTGCAGCTGCATGCAAGGTAAATGTTCACGCTAAGTTTGTCATAAATGCTTTCTTGGCCAGTACAGTGAGAAAGGCCCTTCTGAAAGGTCATTCACACTGCCCTAAGGACAAGGAATCTGAGACATATGGGATAAATTTTTCTCTGAAGGTGTCTCTCTTTCCATAGTTTATGAATTACCTGCTACAATCACAGAATTTCTACTTTATGCTCTTTTAACTGTAATGAAGAAAGAATACTACCACCATAACTTTTGAAACAAAAGGACCCATTTATTTACAATATAAAGAGTTTTTAAAAAAATTGCAACCTGCTATAAATTCTCTCTTTTATGTGGCAGATGATGCCACCTCAAACACAGTAGTGCTTAACACAGCCCTTTGTCCAAAGACCCAGTTGAGAGTGGCTGAAATTCAGGCACACTCTTTAATCTTCAGAGGAATAGCTAAAGTATTTCCATGTGAGCACCCAGGCTTTGCTTTCTAGCATCACACCTGCTGAAGAGGACTGACATTATCATGGGTGACTTCTGTATTATCTTTCCTGCCTCTTTTATAGCCAAATCTAAGAAAAAATAAGCAGGGTTCACACTAAGAGAGTTCAATAAAGAAACAATTTAATCAGGAATTCATGAAGAGAGCTACAAAAACGCCATACAATCAACAGCCCACATTAACCCCATCAGTAAACACTTTTTTTTAACTACTGTAGTAGAAATCAGAGTTAACTGTAATCTGTGCATGTAGCATAAATCATTATTAACCAACACACTTCTCACCTTTGTCTACAACAGCTGGTAAGACCACATTGAGATGTTTTCTACTCTAAAATAAAATCACCTTCCCTTTCCTTTTCGATCTAGAAAAGGGCATATCACAGCATGCTCCCTAACTTCCTCTTATTATGCGGGTTAACTTAAGCTTAGAGCAGATAAAGAGCATATCCTGTCTACTCCTCATTACAGTTCACACAAGCCTTGACTTTCCTTGACTTTCGCAGAAGCTGGATGCAGCCAGAAACGGAGCCTCACCCTGGTCTGGCAGCATATTATTACAAATCCAGGAAATACTGAAATATTGAACCAGGAAATGGAGGCTTCAGGCAATGTTTATCATATGAAGTTAATCCCAGAGAAGGGAAGGCTTCCATGCTAGTGGTTTCCTTATGCTCCCTATTTTTAGTCATTATTCACTCCCTCTGCCACCTTCTAGACTTTGGCATTCTGGACTCAAGAGATACAGTGCTATGGCTACCCTAGGCTGCAGGACAGAAAGCAAAAAGTTTATCTCTTTCACTTTACCTGCGAACAATGCAACGTTGGCATGCTTTGCATCATAGGGGCACCTGGCCATTCCACTGAATTCATCTCCCAGGAACTCCAGAGTATCCATCTGAAAAACGAAATGGAGCTCCTCAGACAGAGAAACAAAACTGCTTACCCAGGATGAGGCTTGTAACAGTGTTTCTTTTTTTCCCGGAAGGGAGGAAGGTCCTTTCTCTGACTGTGTTCCTGACTATGAGATAAAAACCTGACAAAAATATCACTGTTAAATAAAATCAGTCTGAAGAAAGTGTGTCCAACAAGTCAGGCATTATTTAGGAGCTAATCACTCTTACTCTGACACATTTTACAAAAGTCTTCAGTCTATATTTTATCTGTACACAAGCTTCCTGTTGAACTGTAGCAAGCTATGTGGTCTGTGGCTCTGGCAAGGATTCAAAATTTATCCTCAACAGTGATCCAACAGAAGTGCTCTTATACACAGAAAAGCCTGCAAGCCACAGTGGTCAGAAAAAACAACACTGGAACAACTATATGTGTGTGCATTTTTCTCCAAAAAGTCCGGAGATCCTTCTGGTCTAGTCTCAACAGTGGTGCTCTCTTCCTTGATTTGCATACTCAGAAGGATGCTCTCCAAGTCTTCCTGTATCAGTTGAGTTTGTGTCACAGAGAAATCCTCTTACCATCAGGCAAGAATTAATCTGTGCAGGAATTGTAAAATCTGAGGCTTAAATGTAACTCCTGGGAAAGAAATTCACCCCGGGCACTGATAATGATACAAATATACAGGTCAACTTCACGCTAAGTTCAAGAGGGTTTAGTGAGCTATGGGGGAAAGGTACAGCTCTTACCCCTTTAAGATTCTTATATTACTGTATTTTGGGAATAAGAGTCTTTCTAGCATATTCAAGTAACTTGAGCAGCTCATACTATGTAAATCACATACAGTACAGACTCACAGAGCACGAAAAATAACCCATCTGGCACCACCAACTACTCCAATCAACTTTTAGCTTGTATGTTACAGCACTGAGGTCCTCCAGTGGACGATTTGTCATCATTTGTTTTCTGTCATGTATCTTTCCTGTCAAAATCCACTCTGAAGGGAATTAGTTGTGTTGACTCAAGGGCTGAAAAGCATTTCATGTGATAGTGAGAGGAAATGAGTTACAGTCCTGAGCAACTTTCCCTGAACCGAGCCCCAGACCCCAGGCTTGTCCACACTTCCATCGGTGGGGTGGAGGGACAGCCCTATTTTCTGTTTGGCACATCTTTAGTATTCTCCCTACATAATGCAGAAATACATGGAGGAAAAGCCAGGACAGGTGTTGGAGAGACCTTCTCTTGACTCCCAGAGGTATCACTATCCAGCCCCTGCAACTCAGCAACAGGCGAGGCAGTCTGCAGAGGCCATGCATCACAGGGAATGAAACACCTGCAATAAGGTAAGGAGGGCTATTTGCATCCCTCATGTCAGGATGCCAAGGAAATCTGTATTCGTACTAAAAGACACCTTTCTAGCACGGGGATTGGTTGAGATTTTTTAGCTGCATTAATGGCATTCAGAGCTAAAAAATGACAAACTGTGCTGGAAGACTAAACACAGCACTAAGACTGAGAAGCTTCATTGCATGCTAGGAGCAGGATCCAAGGAAAGGAAGAAAAGAAATGGCTGTTACAGAGCAGCTAGCTGTACCTCACAGCTACCATGATGTGGGCTTGTATTTTTATGCCCATTTGATTCTTCCTCCACAGACTGAAAGAAAAGACTACTCTGAATTTCCTCCTGTGTTTCCCAGACCATATAGCCACCACAGTGGCTGAACAAGGTAAAGCAGCATTGCAGAAAAAGCAAGGAAAAGCAGCAGTCACAGCGAATTCCACTGAGAAGTGTTTTCCTGGATGTTAATGTCTTTACTCTGTTTTTTTTTTTTTTGCAGTAACTCTGAACCCAGTAAAATTAATGAGAATTGTGACATGACTTTATCAGAAGCGGCATTAGCAAAGCTGAATATTCTTTTTCCTGAAGAAGGATGAGAATTGACCTGTGGGACACAGCAGGCCCTGGAAAAGCAGAATCTGGATATCAAGGGCCTAAGTAAATTAATTTCAAAACTACTCCAGAGACATCCACTGTTGGGTGTTATATCAGATTATACTGGTGCAAGCCTGAGAAAATGGGAAATACCTGAATAAACGAGCCTCATTAAAATGCAGGTAATGGGGACACATTATGTCAAAAGAAGAAACTGGGGTCAAGGAATGAATGTCAAGCATCTATGCACCAGCACAGTTTTCTACACTCCTCTAGATAACATTTTGGCTTTGCAGATCCCCAGTAGTGAGGAATACATCACCCTTCTGCTGTGCCTTTCCCTGTGGAAATCTGCTGTCAGTCACTTTTACAGCACACAATGCCACAGGATCTTCACAGCTTCCATATACACTGGGTCCCCAACACTAATCTTGGGTTTTGCTGTGCTAAGCCCTCAAGCATCTTGATAAGTGGCTTTGCAATTGAGAACAGTGAAATAGAGACATTTAAAACATGCCAGCCCAGAGGTAACCCTCAGCATCACTCCATGACTTGATGTGGTTGTCAGTGACGAGCTGAGGAACTTTCTGAGGAGTGACCGCATCCCCAAGCAGGGATGTGAAGGACTCTACACTTATGGAGGACAATGCAAAATGCAGAGTGCAAATTCTTGATGTGCAGGAGTTGCAAAGGAGTAGGTGATCAATCCGAGCAACCCTCAGAAATTCAATCAACATTGAGCTCTATAGCACTGCAACAAGTCAGGATAAATGCTACGGAGTTGAACGATGGCACTGTTGAATGACAACCTCATGCTGTTGCCAGAACAGTTACAATAAATCCAACCAAAAGACAAGGCATAAATGAAATCCCACAAACAGCTCACGTACCTTGTAGTTCCTGCAAGAAGGGTTGAACGCATTTGTTCCACAGATAAACAGTGTATCCTCATTTCTTTTTAGGAGAACTTTAATAAAATTATGACATTCATCCTGAAGAAAAATAATAAAAAGTATTTCAACCACTACATTTTGGGTGTCTGGTTTTATTTTTATGCCATGATATTTCATTGTCAGGTCTAAAATGAAATTGGCTGGTAGCCACTGTGATCTTCTGGGCTTTATTTCAACTACGTTTAACTGACAATGAGAGAAATGCAATTGATTTATATTCTAGTGGTTTAAAAATGGTTACAAAGAGCTAAAGATACGATATTCATACTACAGCTCAGATTTTGCTATTGTTCATACATAGGTGAATTTTGTTTGAAAGCTGTTGATTTCCTCAAGCGTGAAAAATCTGATCTTCTCATCCATGTTGCTGTAAAACAGTAGCATCGCCAATGCAATGTACTGGCATAAAACCATAAAGAAGGGCAAGCAGGTGTAAAGAATCAAAGAGTTTGCATCTAATTCTCATACCACTTGTGCTAGTCACAGGTTACAGTAGGTAAAACTGGTGTGAGAAACGGTCCTTCTACAACTGTACACATTCATGCCTTCTGATGCTTTACACAAACTTCTCAGTAAATTCCTGCATGAGGATGGACAGCAGCACTTAGCTTTTGAGTCAAGGGTAACCAAATCAGTACACTAAGCATTATGTGCAAAATCCTCATTGCTCTAAGTATTTCAGGATATTGCTGTGGCTCCTGTCATAATGTTTTATCACATTAAAAGTAAACTATTTTTGCAAATTAAAGCCTTCAGTAAGTTGATGGAAAAAGCAATTACTGGCAAGAAGTGAATGGCATGATCCATTCCACATCACAGACAGCAGCCTGAGATAATAGTGAAGGAACTAAACTAAGTGGCAGATGCAGAAGGAAAATTGCCTACCTTATGTTTTCCCTTCATTCTGCATGTGTCTACATCAGCTTGCCTAGATTTCCACGTCAATTTCTGCAAGGATCAAGAAAGAAATCAATTAAGAGTCCAGAGGTTGTTGCATTTGGTTTCAGAAGTAGAAGTCCCTTAGGGGAGACTACCTGTTGAACATATATTTACTGAAAGCTTTCTGCACCCTTTCTCTGTGATTAATTCACCACACCCATGAAAGGTCAGTGATGTCAAGCATTCACTTAATTTTGTGTTGTCACCTATTCATTAGAATAGAAACTTACCCCATTTTTTAAAATCAACCGAATTTAGCAGCAACAAATATGTGCACTTTTCTTAAAAGTACTAGATGCTCTCTTATTTTAATTTGATATTGTTTGTAAATCAGAATAAACATTTATGGACTATAAACCCTAAGTGGATTCTAAATCAAATATGTATTCTGGAAGGTCACATTTTAGATTGGCAAAGAAATCAAATTCAGGTAATTCTTATCACTTCAATTCATCTAATAGGCTCAGAGAGCCCTCCACCTATCAAGACACTGCTGACTTTATCTGCCAACACTTTTCCTTCAGAACACTTACAGGTAAATTCCACCCTGGATGTTTTTGCAGTGAGTTTCAGGTGTGGTCAAATGTGGTAGGCTGAATAATTATTAAAAACATTTTTTAAAAAACATTTGGCCTCAGATAGTAACACCTTAGACCCTATTGCCACAATAGTCCTGACAAACGTTTCCCATCAGTAAACTGAGGCACTGTGCATTCATGAAGGCCTCCAAGCTGAAAGAGTAACCATGAGTGTTTATTTCCATTACGAGCCTGTGCCCTCACTTTTTGATGAGTAACTGGGCATAAGCTCATCTTCAGCATCACTCATAGTTACAATCACTCTCCTCTCCTACAGTGGAATTCATCCAATGCCCAAATCTGTATGATCTTCTGCTGGATCAAGGCCATGTTTGGCACATATTACACAATATGAATGCAATGCAAAGGAGCTGAAGGGAGATTATTTCTAGTACGTTTATGTTAATATACAATATGGTACTGTAACAAAGTTCTCTTTACTTTGCATGTAACTTCCCAGGGACATAATGTGAACACATCTACAAAGTGACATCATAATAAGATATTATTTAGTGAGCGCTTGCATGAGTCAATAAAATTTGTGTGCATGAAAATATGTAAATAGCACTTGCTTTTTATGATGAAAGTTTCCGTATACTTAATTGGGATAGTATAGCTGTTACAGAAAACTGCTGAATATAAATTAATAGATGTTTGACAGATGTTCCATCAGGGACCTCACTGTATTTCAGTACAAATTTCTTATCAGCCCAGCTAAATCACTTATCAGAAATTCACAGAGGACATGATTGCTATTCTAGCTCTCCCCAAATATGATTAGCAATGCCATCTTACTTGCTTATTACAGTTTTTAGAGCAGCGCTGGCAAGTTGTTTGAAACAATGTCATCTTCCTATTTATTTGAAGTTTGTTCTAGTGTCCTTGGTTTCTGGATGATGATAAAAGCTACTTACTTTGCTAAAATAAATTTCTTCTGTATGTGATGTGTCCATATCAACAGTATAAATATGGTCTCTGTAAACAAAGGCAAATGAATGCAAAGTCAAATGGAGTAGTCAGACAGTTCATTTTCTGTGAAGAGAGCTATCTATAACCCATAATCCATTCAAAAAAAGATCACAGGTCTTACCAGGGAACATTACTCGCAGCATCACCTGCTTCTCCCAGAAAAGCATTTTCATATATATAAACTGTTTTCCTTCCCATTAAGAAAAAAAGAAAAATGCTACAAAACTTCAAAGGAAGATTTTTTCCCAAAAGCAATTATCTGAACAAATGAGATTTTGGAAAGGAGATGATCCTTACATAATTTCTGCTCTATAGGTCCTACAGCAGATGACACGATCTAGCATGCAGATGTTTTTGTGTATCCTGAAATCAGCTACAATAGCTCTTAGGCAGACTTTGCCAGTATTCCTGGGCTAGCAGTCACTGTGCCACATTTAGCCATTCAGGGTTAAAAAGAGGTTAATGCTTCTTTCTTTTTTTTTTTTTTTTTAATTATGTGTCTAACCTCAGCTGAGATAATTTGATGGACAATATGGCAGGCAAAAGGCTGACGGCCACAGAACTATTCCCAGAAATAATTCTTCTCTTCACATACTGGTGGCCAAACTAAACTGTGAAATACTCTTCTGAAAAATGTTCATATTTCTTGCTTGCATTTACTTTCCTGTTTTCCTCAGAACCTGCCCCTGTCTACAATCAGCTGCCAAGCTCTCCTTGGAAAGAGGAAATACTCAGCTACTCAGGTAAAGAGATACTTTTAAACATTCTTCTCTGGGTGAGCTGAGAACAAGAACATCTCTGTATGGAACCTAAAATTTGAAAAAAAACCACCAACCCACAATGCTATAGTAACCACCACATCAAATCGGGACTGAGCATCTCATTTTTCCTTGAAGTAACACTGGCTTTTTTCAAAATGCAGGAAGCAGCTGGAGCATGATCCACAGCATTGGAGAGGTCCGCTGAAAGTAGGATACAGACTGTTTCCATTTTAGAAATCCTTGCTCTCAAGGTTAGCTTCATTTTATGGGGTTTTGGGGAAACAGTTCTAGTCTTAAATAAAGCAAACACAAAATACTGTTATAAGGAATAAGCAACACTTCTCTCACTTGGAGAAGAGTCATTGTTGTGGGAAACTTGCTTTTAAAAATCTACGTCTGCTAGAGTGCTTGAGGCTGTTTGCTTTGTAAGATGTCAAACAGAGAGTTGTGGGTTTTCTTCTCCAGAGTCTGTAAAACCAGAGCTGTCATTTACTTCCAGGACTGGTTTAATGCTTCAGTTTATTATTTGCCTGACATTACTAGCAGAGCAGTGGTCAGGGTTGGTGCTGGACTAAAATTACCTATTAGCATGATATCAGCTTCATACATTACTGCACGGTTCCCTTTTTATGTACATCACTCTTTGCTGCTGTCACTACTACTATACAAAGGTGGGAACAAAATCTGCTGAATTGCAAATTAGGTGTGGCTGGAGCTCTAAAAGCCTTCTTCCAGCACAGCTCATGATTTTAACCATCAGCCTGGCTTTCCAGTGGTTATGATTTTTTCTTTTTAAACAAGATAATTAGAAAATATAATGATGGTACTCAGAACGAGTCTTTAGTTATTTAGTTCCACTCTCAATGAAACAGCTTTCGGAGGACTTCCTTTATGGTTCAAGAAACAGTTCAAAGAGAACTCAGATGCTAAGTTATGGGATCATCTGAAAGACGGTTAGTATCAGGCAAATTACATATAATTTTCTTATGTGGTACGTGAAACCGTAATGCGGTAGTTGCCAATATTGTCAGTAGAGAGCGAACGAGCTGTCAAATTCAGGGGAGGGCTCTCTAACCACAGACAATGCGGGATTGTCCTTGCCCTCCTTTTCCCACTGCTGCCCAACTCCTACTACCTACTAGCTGTGGTATGTGTACAGCTCGCTGCTAATTAAGTTATTCTAACACAAATTGACTTAATCCTGGAGCTTCCGTTTTTCCCACCTCCAGTCAGTAGAATCTAGTTTTGTTGCCATGGCATAATCTTGTGGAGGAAGGGAATTTAAATAATGCCACCGGCTGTGCCTGACCCTTAGCCACTCAGTGCATCGTCTGGAAATGTGGAACTGCAAATGACGAGGGAGCCATCCCGATGCTTCGCAGGCTGAATAAATCGTTTTGTACATACACATGAGGGGTGGCAGATAATGTGAACAAAAGCTGCCACCACACAAGACAATGGGAGGAGGAGACATGGCAAACTTAGAAAAGGGGGTGTGTGCGTGAGTGTGGGCAAGTGTGAGAGAGACAACCAGGGAATACCCTTCCCACGAGAAAAAAGAAAACAGAGCTGGCCCTTTGCAGACTGCAAGTCAGATATTCGGACAGCACGGCTTCATGGGCTTTGGCTGAGTTATTTTAATTTATATTGGCCGGATATCTCTGCCTGATAACATGAAATAAAGCATTTCTGAAGCGACACAAAATTTTATTTGGTAATAGCTAATATAGGAGTCACGCATCCCATATTACAAAATAAACAACTGACAGGCAGAAATGTTGTTCTATGCCAGTTGCTCAGTAATAAAGTGTTAGTGGTTCTCAAATCTGAGTTAGTCCTCTCCTGTGCACGGAAACTGCCTGCAAAGTAAACACTGGATTTTCTAAACCAAGCAAACAAACAAAAAAACCCAACTCAAACCCAACAACTCCAAAATAAAAAATCTCAATGTTTAATCATTTGTTTTGATTGCTTTTCAGATAATTGGATACAACTGTAAATTTCACATCTCATATTTTTAACATTTGTAAAAAACTCAACATGAAAGCAACATCTGAAATGATAGCCAAAGGATTTATGTTAGCTACAGTTTTGAACGAATCTTGTTACCAAACTCTTTGAGAACTACCTTTGATTGTGTACACATTTGCTTCAGTCTCTAGATTTACTATTACCTCTAAAGGAGATGTGGTATTGCAGTTACAAACCTTCATTCACACTAGTTATCAAAGGATGACTCATTTTCTTAAGTTTATTACCTAAAGATAAAAATTACCTTTGAATTTTAATTTGTATCACATAGGCTTCTCAGCCCAGCAGGGATTTTATTCAGTAACATGTGGAGGGGGAAAAGAGTTTTTGAGTTACCGAAGGAAAAAAGTGTAAGATTTTTTTGTGCTTGTTTAAGTACAAAACAGACCAGGTCTTTATTCCTTTTTGTAGGTCACAAGACCTGACGAGTATATAAGCACTCTCATTGTAGTACACTGTTTCATACAAACATATAGCCACATAATATGTAAGAATCCATATTCACACACCAGTACACATACTATACTCCAAATATTAGCATTCTTTATATAATTTGTGCACACAGTGGTTTCATATCCCAAAATGTTTCACTGGGTTTTCCTGCTGTAATGCCAGTTGCTTGGGCACTGCGACAGTCTAATTGCGTCAATCTCAGCCTGGGAACAAACTATGAATACAGCCTAGCAAAATCCACAAAGCGGATTTACCACCTTCTCACCGCAAATGATTTCCTAATTTAAAGGAAAACAAATAAGGAAAGCAAAGGGAACTCAGCCATGAAAAGGAGGAAATCCTGCCACCACCTTTCAAACCCCTTCAGCCTGCTCCCCCACCCTGCTCATTATCACACCAAACGCAGCAAAAATCCTAATCCCTGAGCTCAGGCAAAGTGCAGGGAGGCCTCGCTGTGGGTCTCCCTGCTCTTTGTGCCTTACAACCAACAGCACCACAGCTCCCACGGAAGGACACATACTCTTTGCCTGGACTTGATGCAAGGGCTTGGCATAAGTGAGGTCCCAGAGCTCTGCCACCCAGACCCCATACAAACCAGCGTATGAGAGAAGCCCAAAGAAGCTGCACTTAGCTAGTACAGCTGCAATACCTGGGTAAGAGAACAGGTAGAAGTGGTCTTCTAGCAGCCAGGGACACGACTACATAAAAACGGCACTCAGTGACTCTGCTGGTCTAACGCAACTAATTACTTGGTGCCGGGTGCAGATCTCCACCACAGGACACATCCGACCACCCAGAAGATGGGGAGCGGCTGTTTGAGAAGAAAGCCAGGGCTGGTGGTGAGAGGCTGCCTGTTCAGCAGCTGTTCCCTCTCACCTCCTGGCCATCCCACTCACCACTTCTCCCAGCTGCAGGAACAGCCTGGCTCTCTGTGGCACACACAGAAGGGTGCTATTTCTCCAGTGGAGGAGATGGACCAGAAAACAGGAAGGAAACAAGCTGCTACTGGAAGGGCAGCTTGCAGAGAGGTCCCAAACAGGATCTGGGTCCAAGAGCTCCTAAACTGTACTACCCGCCCTTGCGAATCTGGATCCTTCTTGTATTTGTCCTGTGTCCCTCGGGTAATTCCCACTCTAAGATTGTCAATCTTCTTTGCTCGCCATGGGCAGGGAGAGGAAGTGTTAACGTCTGATCTGTGCCAGGTTGGCAGCTGTATAAATCGCTGTAGCTCCACTGAAGCTGACGGAGCCATGCTGAGCTATGCAAACTCAATGGGTGGCTCTATATGTAATTTTTATAAAAAGGCATGTGCGGTATCTGTACAGTATAGCTCTCCAAAAAAATCCAGACACCAAATTCAATTAACCTTGCTGAGTACATCAAAAGAACAACAACCAACATGTTTGCCTCTTTTTTGTCTTAAGATATTAAAAACATGCCTAAACCAGCAACATTACAGTTTAATAACTCTCATTCAAACATGCATCTATGCACCTGCAGAATCATTCTCTAAAATATGTCATTAATGATGTGCACAAATAAAATTACAGTCCTCCATGGGGCTCAACAATTTATCTGGCAACTTCCCGCTTGCTGTATTCAAAGGGAGGCAGAGGTGTGTAGTCCTGAAAGGACTGGCTCAGCATCTCACAAAACTGAACCTTAGTTGACCGACTAACAAGGGTTCCAGTATGTCTTACTAACAGGCTGCAAAGCTCCCCCTGAGTGTGAGAAAATCCTAAAAATAATGTGTCCAGCAGAGAATAACTTGGAATATCCCTCCTCTTCTCCTTCCTCTTCTGAAAGTATCAAGGGAGGAGTGATGAAGCAGGGGACTACTGACCTAGCAGCAATGTAGAGGGTCCTGTTCATGATCATGACCAGCTGGATGTCCAGCCGGTGCCTTTGCGTAGTGTTCCGCCCTGGTTTGTGACCCACAAACACCGGATACTGTCTTGTATCTGCAGGAAGGGGAAAAAAAAACATGGTCAAAAGAGAATGACAAACTGAAACTGTGCTAACATGGAGCACCATGGGGCCCAGCTACAGCCAAAACATGAGGTCTCTGTTCTGCCCTGGCAGCACACCCTGGGGTTGGAAGGCACAAGCACAGAGCACTGGAGAGTTCTTCAAGGTTACAGTCTTTGCAGCTGCAAAGGAGAAAGTCATCACCCCTGTAGAAGACAAAAATTGTGAGTTTGTTTAGAGCATAAAGCTGTTCTGGAGCTCTTGGCACACAGGTACATGGCGCTTACTCACAGTTTTTCTTTCACTGCTTGCAGAGTTTAAATGCTCACTCCTGGCTGCTAAAGTGTGTCTAGCAGGACAAAGCTGACTCACAGTGGCCTGTCAATCACCACAATGACTGGACTGGTAGTGGTTAAAGCAGGAGACCTGGCTCTCCTTGGTTAAAACTGCCATCTCCCTGGGTTCCCTATAGGATTGGCCTGCCATGGTAGAACAGATGCTGGGATACCTGAGAGATGATGGGAAACCACCACTTGAAATTTATAAAATGAAAGTCACTGCATATTATTTTCACAACCAGTCTGATACTCCAGTTCTTGTGGCAACTGGACAACAATACTGACCGGAAGCCCTGTACTGAGCTTATGCTATCAACAAGTCAGCTTTCCCACCCATGCTGCCAGCCAGCCACCACATTTATTCACTCTAGTCCCACAACTTCAACTTTTTTGGTGAGACCCCAGCATACATGGGGTGTGCTTCTGTTCCCCAGATGATGGGGATGATGGCTACCAACTTTTCAGAAGGGATAGGTAAGGAAGAAGAGGTGGTGGGCTGGCCCTCTACATTAGGGAGACATTCTGAATGCACACAAATTAATGACAGGGATGATATGGTCAAATGACTACGGGTAAGAATCAGAGGGAAGGCAAACAAGGCTGATATCGTGGTGGGAATCTGTTACACACCACCCAACCAGGAGGAAAAGGTGGATGGAATATTTTATAAGCAGTTGGGAGAAGGTTCACGATTGCTACCCCTTGTTATCATGGGGGACTTTAATTTTGCAGATACCTGCTGGAATTACAATACAGCAGAGAGAGAACAGACCCAGAGGTTCCTGGAGTGTGTGGGAGATAACTTCCTAACACCGCTGGTAAGGGAGCCAATCAGGGAAGGTGCTCTCCTGGACCTGCTCCTTGTGAACAGAGAAGATCTTGTGGGGGAAGCAAAGGTTGGAGGCCGTCTAGGGCATAGCGATCATGAACGATAAGAGTTTTCATTCCTTGGGGAAGTAAGGAGAGGGGTCAGTAAAACTGCTGTCTTGGACTTCCAGAGGGCAGACTTCGGCCTGTTCAGGAGACTGACTGACAAAGTCCCCTGGGAGGCAGCCCTGAGGGTAAAGGTGTCAAGGAAGGCTGGACACACTCCAAGAAAGAAGTCTTAAAGGCGCAGGAGCAGGCTGTCC